ATATAAAATAGAAATCTACTATAAAATATGCAGCTTGTGTGTGTTGAAAATGCACATAATGCACGCAGTGATATTTTTTATTCGTGTTTTTTCTTGTGTTCCTAATGATGTGCATGTGCATTTGCACATTATTTATATTTGTGCACAGTAGATCTTTAGATCTCCTTTTATCTTTGATGCGTTTGATCATGAAACAAAAGCTAAATCTTTTTTAAAGTGGATTCCGCATTAGACTAAAAACTTTTATATTAAAATATATTTTTCAACTTCCACCTATAAAGCACCAGTTCTTCCACGGTTTTTAGATACAGAAAGTGGTACTTTATCCACGGGCATTATCAACTGGACGGAGCTTGCAGCTGCGCATTTGCCTACGGTGCAGCACCACCATATGATATACCATACCATACCATATGATATACCATACGCTGCCAGGAACAGCAGGCGATGCTGCTGCTCGTGTCGGCGCGACACGACATTTATAACTTTACATTTTCCAATAGTGTGCGAGCGAATTTCAAAGATTTAAATACAAAAGTTCAAATATAAAAAGCTAAACGTGAAAAGAGAGTGCAAATAGGAAGAATAGCGTAAGCATCACGTCGCAAAACGTTAATAAAACCCTCGTTAAGTCACTTGATACTTAATATAGTATTGTGACGGTTATTATAGCTGAATATTGCTGACAATCAAATATTGTATATAAGTAAAAGTAAAATTAGCACACTGTCGACTTATCGATTCAAGTACAATCTCGCAGCATGACGGCAAAACGTTGCCTCTTAATTGAATGGAAAACAAGATGAGTGATAAATATGATGCGAGCAAGCATCCCTTCCAGTACCCTCCCATCTACCCGTCGCTATCTAGAAAACAGCAAAGCGGTTGAGGAGGATGAGCAGGACGTGCAGGCCGCGTCATCCAGCCAGCTGTCGTTAGAAATAATCAAGATAAATGACGGCCCCGCGTCATTCGCAAGGACATTCTCGAAAGCCCAAGCTGGAACAAGCAACAAATAAAATCAGAAAACATCACAAATACTCTATATTTTCCGAAAACTAATTTGATATTATGAAATTTATTGTTTTTCATTTATAATCATATAAATTTGTATGCAAACGATATCGAATCTTCCGCTGTTTGTATATTGCTTTTCGCTGGGAGATGTGCTTGGTTGAGACAATTGCAAACGAAATTGCAAGATAAAATCTAAATGAATCTGAATGAAATCCCAGCGCGTTGTCGACGGCTCCTGTCGGAAGGATATGCATATATTTATATTAGCCTGGGTTTGGTCGCACAGGACGACAGACACGGACGTCGGAAGAACAAACACTACAAATTGCTCGGTGCGAACGTACCGCACGACCAGACGTGCCGTTTCGTTCGTTCGTTTGGCAGCACTTGTAGTGCCTGAGTACAAACAGAGAGAATTTAGCAAATGCGACTAGCAAACCAAACTCACGCTTTCTGGTAGACAACAGAATGTTGCAACAAACAGTTGAATCATATAAAATTTCTTTCATTACTCAAGGAAATATTCATGATAATCAACATAACAGAATAGAATGAAATCAAGTAGAACAAAGAGTAATTAACTAATGTATGAAATTATTTGAAATCTAAGTCAAAGTGAAACACTGCACTCCACATTAATACATTCAATTTTACTGCGGGACTGTTTTAGATATTGTGTTTATGCACGTTCTTTCTATTATAAAAGTCCTTCATTTCACATTTTAATTATAAATTTAATTAAAAACTAGACATGCTTTGAAATAAACAACTCTTTTTATATGCAGTACTAAACATAGATTAAAAATTTTCAATTAAATTTGTTATTTCAATTATATTCGTGTTCGAGCTGTTGAATTATTGGGTTTTTGAGTTCTAAGCGGCGAATAATTTCCACCAACTTTTTAATAGGATTTGTATAACCGCTCGTTTGAGCCAGTTGGATGAGTGGTCATTTGTTGCAAAGTTTTCGATGACCATTGTGTGTTGACCGCCCACGTGCTGGCTTCCAATTCTCACTGCGCCCCTTTGGGTTGTCCTGGAAGTGCTCAGATTCTCGCTGCGTGTTACATACCTTTCACACATTCTTGTTGTTTTTTTTATAGCGCCCTAATGGTCGAGTGTAACTAAAGCGAACAAAGTGAGCAAAGAGTGCACTGCATAGCTGCTATGTGCTCTTAGATGCCTCTGGGTGCAAGAAAATGTGTGTGAATATAAAGGATCGATAATCTTGCTTAGTGTTAGTTGTATCACTTTGGTAAGTTGAGTAGAAGCGTGAAGAGAGTTGGTAAGCATTGGCCAACAATGCGTTGGTTTGCTGATAAAAGATACTGACAATGCGAATGCCCATGGCTACATGTTTTAGAGAAGCCTCAAGGAAGAGTAATTCGAACACCTAAATGAACAATACTGATAGCGCAACACCAATAGCAGATTCTAGACCAGCATCACGACTGCCGTGAAAAAAAGGCAACTTGCAAGCGGGGAGTGTAATTGCTGGATCATGGCCAACTTTCAAGCCAAGGCATAAGAAGTAGTTGCAATGTTAGGGGTCTAGACAGAGGGTAAAAAACGCGCTAATCACTATCGCCCTCACATCAGCAGACGATCCCAGGCCTTCCTAGGGTATAACTAGATAGCTTCATGCCATCAACAACAAACAAGTTATATTTAATCCTAAGTAAACAAAAAGTTGATAATTTTAAAGATGTCCGTAAGGATTCAAACTTTTATTGGGTCTTATTGTTGTGTGAAGTTATAGTGCAAACGGTTTATTATGTATGTAGATACTAAAATAAATAAATATCTAATATGCCGTGAAATTAAAGTTTGTCTGCACTGCAATTGTCCAAACAATCCTAAAATACTACCGATTGTATAATTCAAGCGCAATATAAACAAATATCGAAATGCGTCGCAGGTGCGCGTTTATTTCCGCGCATTTCCGCAGAATTTTACGGAATTTTCTGCATTCTCTTGAATTATTGAATTTTACGCTTGCATAAATCACAACACCTCTCTACACCTTGTTTGCACCATCACAAATTGCCAACATGTACCTCAACCCATTTTTTGTGTCGCAATATCTGTACAGCAATTTCAAAACTCGCATTTAAAAAATCGCAGATGCGCAAAGAGACAAATTAAACAGTCGAAAAATACATTCTTTTCAAAATCAAACAAAAACACGTCATGCCTGTATTTTATGTTTTTAGAACAAATCGTCCAAATTCCAATTCCTTTTACCATTTTTTTTGTATATTGGAAAGCTGCAATGTTTGGATAATAAATCACAGCATTTTTCATATGACAAACGCGCGTGCATAGCGTTCAAATGACGTGCATTTAAATTTATAATTTTTATTTGCCAATTGCAGATTTATATTCTATCACAATTCATGCTTACGTCCGACAGGACAGTAAAACCTGTTTGGTTTTCTATGCTTTTCTATCTCTGCAATAACACACAAAAGCTGGGGTGTTTGCGCTCATCCATTATTCAAATTTTTAGGAAAACATTCAAATCGGCCACGAATTCTTGGTACAAAACAGGAGAAAAACAGATTCAGCAATATCAATAACCATAGACCGGATTGGAACTCATAATAAAAACATCCTAATAAATATCCTTTCCTTTACATAAAAAAGTTATTTTATAATAAATGATTTATAAAATAGATTTTATTTCGTTGATAATTAATCAATGATTCATTTGTAAATTAGAAATTTGCGTGCGTTTACAATTCGATTATCATCCACCTTACTTCTTTCACTTCGAAAGTTAATTAAATTATTCGAAAAGCATCGCTAAACGCAAAAGAAAGAGCAAACGATGATTGATAGTCGTGTTTACACTCTCAATTTTAATTATTGATAAATATCAACAATATCGAAATATCACGCCACGCCTGATTGATTAGATGTCAGGTCGCGCCACGCCAAGCTATTACAAAAGGGCGCAACATAAAATTGGACGTTTATCGATTAGTTTTCGTTTCGAGTCGTCCAAAGCTATTAACGCAAATTACTTGAATATTACTGCCATATAAATAAGTTTTATCAAAATTATTCAAACCACGTTTGGTTAATAATAAAAAAATATTTCCTGTGTTATGATATCTTAAACGCTGATATGAAATTCTTGAAAGTCACGTACTCAATTTAGTACTTTCTTCTATGAGCACTTTTTGCTTGCTCTGTCGAAATCTTTGTGCTCGTTGAACATGCTCAATAAAATGAATAGAAAATTTCTGATTATTTGCGCGCTTACAAAAAATTTTACGATTCGAAGCTGTTGTAATTCCCTTCTCGACCGTTCTAATCCTTGCGCTTTTGCGTTCCTTCCATTGAGTCTATTCTTAGAAATTCTTGGAAGGATTTCGGCTAGAACTAGCTGGATTTTCTATGATCAGCGCTGCCATTTGTAAAACTCGCATGCGTGATATGAGGCACGGCACTCGCATTCGGAACGAAATCAAATTTCAATATCAATTACTCTATTATGCAATTTTCGTGCGACGTACGTGCCAACCAGATCAAGCCTGCGCGAAAGGAAAGCGACGAAAAGCGAGGAAATTCGTTTTACTCTTTTATCATTTTTTTAACGCTTCACTTTGCATCTAGTGCCAGACGTCTACATTTACGTTTACCTTTACTACGTCTAAGGTTTCTTTTGAACATAATGCGATCCTTAGTAGTGTAGCTTTTGCATTTTTGTTACGTTTTGGTGATTTTGACATCGTTTGACTTCGATGGAAAGTTCACACCTTACCAGGAGACATTTTTTATTCATTTTACTTCTTATTCGTCTTGAAACTAGTTGCTTTGAATAAAATATGATTCCATTTTTTCAACCTTCTATATATATGTAGTGCACGTGTAACACGTGACATGATTTCTGCCTGGCCGAATATCTAAATGTCCAAGCGAATCATAAAAAGATTCATAAAAAAATATATGCTGAATTTTTGATTGTTTTGTTTCAGGTTTATCTGGTTGGTCACATGCCTCCAGGTTCTGACGAACGACAACGTGGTGGCAACCATCATGCTCATTACGCCTACACTGATCACCACAACAAGCGATATTTGAAACTGGTTCGCAAGTTTGCCGACATCATTGTAGGCCAGTTTTTTGGCCATCTTCATTCCGATTCGTTTCGAGTTATCTACAATGATAATGGTAGGCAAATTTAACTTTCGAATGTAAATGTACGATGAAGGCAATTCTAGTTCTTGCCAGTAATGTTTCTTGTGCAAGCTGTGGACATAACTGCCTGGTTATCGAATAAACTATGCTAAAGGACGCTAACGCGTAAACGTTTGTGTTAGCAGCGAGTTTAAGTATCAATTAAGTCCGCCGTCTGGCGCGACATGCCCAGCCCAGAAATTAAGCAGGCGAGTCCAAGTTGAAGCTGGACTTCTAGGTCTTACGGCCCTTCCCGACCCAGAATCCTAGACCGTTATCAAGCAGGACCGTGGGTGTGGACTAACTGTATTAGCACAAAGTCACTAACTGCGACTAACTACATTTATGTTATACTTAAACATATCCAAACATATCCCTATAGTTGACCAAGCTAACCTTCAGACTAAGTTTTCACCGAGTTAACCTTACATCGCACCTATTAAGATAATGGAGAAGGTAGTAGATATTTTTTAAACTATGATTACGATATAATAATTAGATACTTTGTTTTATAAATGGATAAGATTAGAATGAGTAAAGGATTTTGAAACTCAAAATAAGTAGTGTAATTCATACTGAAACTCCAATTATATAAGAAGGCGCCCTGCTCGGCTGAATCGAACCATGGACAAAGATTAAGACTCGATTTAAACCGGCATCGTTGCGCAACTTTTCTCCAAGGCGACGGATCTCCGCAGCTGATTGCGGCCATCTGCCCGTCTCGCCCGCCAAGATATCGATGATTCACTGCCAACCATCTAAGCAGAACCGCATTTAAACAGGCCGCAAATTTCCAACAATTGGCAAAGAAATTTAAAGAGAATCCAACCAATTTAAATGATTGTTATGAGAATGTTTTGTCGCCTTTGTCTTTGGTTCAAAAATATGTTTCTACGCAAAAGTCAGCGCTTGCGGCATTGTTAGAACTGAAAAAGTTGAATTTCCGACTTAATAAGCCTCATTAAGCGATGGCGAAAGTTAGGCAGTTGCAGAGTCCAATTTGCGGATTAGATTTGCGCCTCGGCCGCACGCAGGGCGCGAAGGAAAGCAAAGTGAATCCGCAAGCAATTACATTGAACCATTGCGGGCCATTATTTCGGTCCACTTTTAAATTAGCCGGCAACCCTCCGAATTGACGGTTATTTTTCATCGGTTAACGCCGAAAGCTCCGCATTTTTTCACGCCTTTTCTGCAATTTCCTTTTGCCATTCCTGCGTTTCGCCATTTCGGGGCAGGGAATTACCTACTAAGACCTTTGGAATTACGCGCGAACATCAGTTAACTCTCACCTCACAAGAAAGCACCTTTCGGCAAAAAAACCTAATGCAAAAATTACGAATATTTTATAACTTTTTTTGTTTTCTATAAATCAACATAAATTTAAATAATGCCTTCAGTGCCACACTGTAGGACGTAAGTTGTATTAATATGGAAACCGAGATTCATTCATATCACGCCCTACAATCATATCAGCATATCTATATGTGCCGTGGATGTAGAATATTTCAGCATATTGATACTTCTCTTTGAACGTCAGATGAATCGGTCCCTTTTTGGTATCTTTCATGCTTTCATGACCACCCCGCGCTTCGGTCGTATCAGTTTTTTGCCCTTCTCGCCTTCCTACTGCCGGCTCTCCATATGTATTAGGTTTTAACTCGGAATGACCCTTGGTCGGGGAATATCCGAAGGATCAAGTTTTTATACTGCATAAACATATGAAACGCATATCGACCTTCCTAACAAAAATATTTTATCAACCCAGGACACGAATATAAACATTTGATTTCTATAAAGTGTTTGGTTAAGCAAATAAAATATTATAACACCAACAAAACTAAATATTTTTGCTATAACAATAGTAATCAGAAAAGTTATGTGTTTTTATAAACTAGAAATTTTATTTTAGGTCGACCTGTTTCCTGGGCAATGATTGCGCCCTCTGTTACACCCAGAAGAACTACGGATGGAGCTAATAATCCAGGACTGAGACTTTATAAATTTGACAAGGATACTGGTCAGGTAATATCCTATACATACAAATAATTGCTTTATTTTTACAATTATATTACCTTTTTCCTGTGTTTACAAACTAATTAATCCAAAACACGTTTTTCAATAGATGTAAGCAAAATCAATTCAAAAACAATTCATTAACCAGTAATTTAAAGCTGCAAATTTTAATTATTTCAATTAAGCGATTAAGAAATTTAAAACTTTAAATTATAATGAAGTTATTGTGATTATGATAAAATGTTGGCTGTTCGGTTTACCCATCGTTTTGCTAGGAAAGCGCTTTAAAAGTTTGACTGCACCATGCACACTCAAAAAGTGTACTGTTTTAACATCACGTTTCGTCGCACGTAAACGAACATAAACTACCGAATAACTGCAGACGCTCCATTCATTAGGGAATAATATTCGACGGCAAAGCGCCAAGCGAAGACTTAAATTGCATCGAAAGTTTCCAACCCGTTCCGGCATCCGGCAAGCTTTCAGATATATCAATTACACGACGGAGCGATTTAATTATGCATCCTCTGAGGCGCGCTGTAGCTGGTGTCCTTATTCGTTGATTTAATAACACGCGCAAGAAAATTCGCGGAAGTTACACAATGAAAATAGATATAGAACGTGGAAAATTTAAATTTTAAATATAAATTACACGTCAAAATGAAGCTTGATATGCAATAAACAACAGAATATTATAAAAATAGAGCAAATAGTTGTTCAAAACAACTTTAGGATTAAACTGAAAACAAATATTAAATTCCACAAATTAATTGTGCAGGTATTTAGGTTTTTACTTTCCTGTTTTTTGTTTGTATGAATAAAAATATTTATAATATTTTTATTTTTTGTTTTAAACCTAATAGTATTAAATAATGAGCGTTAGATGTTTATCGTGCAAGGCTGATAGAACAAATTAAGACCGCCCGGGGGCGGTGAAACGAGCGTCTCGCAACAATAACGACGCCTCGCTGAAGAAGAAGCGCACCGCGACGAGGAGATCCATTAAGGAGCGCATCAATCGAGGATCCTTGCGCACGCTAACGTCTTTGCCGTCGCAGCCCACTTTCAGCGCAAATAAATTAGCTCATTAATACTTTATAATGATCATAACTCTGTTTAATTTGTTTTTATCACGACGTTATCGCGTTCATGTACTTCAACTTCAAGTTTCCGGACGAGATACAAACTTTAAAACATTTCAAACACTTGCCATGTTTAAATATATTCCGAATAATTTATATGTAAATCAAAATGTGTTATATTGTTTTGTTTATAAATGTCTTCTTACCGATAAAAAGGTTCTAATGTATTGTTAATTGAACTTGCAGGTGTTGGACTATACTCAATATTATTTAGATTTGGGACGCCTAAGCAGGCATCCAGGGGTGATAGATTGGGAGGTCGAGTACAACTTCAGCTCGTATTACGGCCTATCGAACATCTCGCCGCTGTCACTGCACACGCTCGCCGAGAAATTAACACAATCCAGCACTAATGAGAAACCCAGCTTTAATAAGTAAGTATTTGCCCTTCAAGCGCCTAAATCACAATTAAATTACGAATACATATTCTCAGACTTTAAAATATATGCAGAACACGTTCAGACACCCTTTTGCCTCTTGAGTCCTAGTCAAATTTTCGAAATTTTCAAAATCTTGAATTATGTGCAACGTGCACGAGAAAAGTACGGGAAGTAAAAATTCTCGCGCAAATTGCGACCTGCACGAACATCAAATTGAATCACATCCACTCGATATCCAGCCAGGACTTGCTAGAATCGCAGGATTCGAGCAATTTTCCTATCTAGCGCATCCTGCGCGACATGTCCATGGACAAATCTCTTCGACTCATATAAATCCAGACAGGATATCATCAGGTCGCGTGAGATTTACTCTCAGTACATTTTTCTCTTAAATTTTCTCTGATTTCAGGTGATATCCGATTTTGATTTAAACCTTCGTTTATGTTTTAGGTACTATAAGGCGAACAGCGTAAGGATGTACAGCAGCAGCACCACATCCTGTGACAATTGTGCGCACACGCATTATTGCGCCATCACGCGGGTAGACTACGAAGAATACGAGCAGTGCGTGAAGACGGCGGCCAGCGCTCTCGCGTCTTCGTCCTTAGGACACAAGAACGTCCTTTATGCAGTGGTTTTGCTATTTAGCCTCGTACTGAGCCTGCTACCCATGCTGACGAATTGAATGTGATAAAGTTGTACGTTTTAAGCTATTCACAGTAAGAAAATCTACTTTTAAGATAAAAACGACAAAAAAACGTATAGATATGTATGTAAAACATAAAAAGAAATGTTTATAATAGTGCCACGAAAATTAGCTGAGATTTATTTATCAATGTTATTTAGTTGAATACTACCTAAAACAAGTTTAACAATGTAAGCTGATTTAAAATTTGTAGCCTATCTAAAAGTATAACCAAATTTGCAAAATATACCAATATGACAACATCACGATTGGTACATGCGTATAAAAATTATTTAATTATACAGTTTGTTTATAAATGCATTTTATAAATTTTGCATTTTATAAGAATGCGCATATTTTATAAAATAAAAATTAAAAAAATTGAGGAACGAAATTGATATTGGAATTGCTAAGAGTATTTGTGACAAAAAAAATTTCGATACTGTAGCGTAATCACTAACTTATAGCAATTGTATACATGCAGTATTGGTGTAAAATATTTTTATATTTTATAAAATATTATCTAAATGTACATACTACCTATAGATAACAGAGTACGAAAGAAGAAAACTGCAAACGAAACGATTGAACATTGTAAAAGAATTGAAATGATTTGTCTATGACAGTAGCCTAATTAGAAACATGAAGAAACATAAAGACAAAAATATATTACGTGCAAATAAGAAATGAATTATTCACTTTACTTGAAGATAAAGAAAATGATGAATAAAGAAATATTAAAGTATAGCTTTTTATGTGAAAAAAAAAATTATGAAGAAGAAACTCAATGTACATACGCGCACTGTGGGAAAAACAAATCCTGCCATCCTGCAAAGAGCAAGGGTTTAATGTCTATTTACAGAAAGATCAATCGATGATAAATTCTTTCAAAGAATTTTTTTTATTTTGGTTGAAAACAAACTTCAATGCTTTGAAGGAAATTATATCGCGATTGTAACATGCGGATTGATTATAATTCTGTGTATTTTTATATATTATTTTAAAGTTTACTTCATTCTACATGATGCAACGTATAGACGTGCAAATAAAACATTTTCCATTTGTGGAATGCTGCAGCATTCGATGTGGTGGTGTGAATGAATGACAAATGACCAAAACTGTTCTCTGTAACATCCAACAAGAAAATAATAGTTTAAAAGACTAACTGTAATGTAAAACTAATTAACTAACCGTAAATGTAATTTACATCCATTTTGTTCGACTTAAGTTATTGTATTAAAGCCAAAACGTGTACCTTGTTTTGTTTCTCACAAACTGTTAGCAAACTTGCCGACATTTGTTTATTTGTGCTGATTACGAAATAAAATCAATGCTAACGCAAATAGATATATTGGGTTACGTTCACATCGTATATGCAAGGTGCTGCTTATATCCAAATTCTTTGTAAATAATTTAGACTAGCCGATGAAGATAGTTTAGATCTATCCTAGACTTGGTTAAAATAGCAAATTTCCACATATATATACACATTTCAGAGGCTTGTCGATTTTTGGGTAAAAAGTGCATTATTGCGCCATCTATTAGTGTTACATTATATCTTCAGGGAAATATATTTCGATATGCAGCACGCTCATGTCGTTCCATAACCAGAGAAGAGCTAAGAAGCTCGAAATTAAATCGCACCTAATTCATCAACAAGTTTTCCGTTTTTCGCATCATGTTTTCAAATTTTTAAAAAATGTCAAATTTTTAATGGCATTTTGGGAGATATGCTTCATGTTAAAGATTTCTTGAACAATAATACGACTATCTAAACCGTCGTAGTTTAGATAGGAAGTTAATGTTTTCATTTTAATGTATAAAGCAAATTTATTATTCATAATTTCGTTGGTTGCGACATCTAGAGTTTAAAAGATGCATTAAATTCCAATTGAATTAAATTGACCGGTAAGGTAGCCGTCTACTTTTAATGCCGGAATTCTGGTAAAGTTCCAATATAATAAATGAGAGGTCATCTTTCTTATTTAACAGTTAATGTTGCTTTCGGGTTAAAATGGATATAAACAGTTGTAGATTTGCAATTATTAAGTTTATTTTGGATAACACCAGTATTTTTGATTAAGCATAAGAGATAAGTGTGTTAACATTTTAAAGCAAACCACCCAATAGTCCACCGAGAAGACTTCCCAACAATCCACCGTCACCATCACTGTCTGGTGGACATGTAGTTGCAGGGGGTTTCGTGGTCGGGCATTGCGATGTTGGTGGTTTTGTTGAAGGAGGTTTAGTTGTTGGACAATTGTTGTTTCCATTGTTTCCGTTGTTTCCGTTGTTTCCGCTATCGTTGTCACCGTTCAAGATTCCCAAGTTAAGAAGGGCTGGAATTTCATTTGGATCTTGTTGGAGAAGTTGCAAATTTAAAAGGTTCCCTAACCCAAGAAGACCCCCATCACCATTCGTGGGATTGCCGTTGTTTCCACCATTGTTACCTCCATTATTATCATCGTCATCACCGTTTAATATTGCGAGTGCTAGAGTTGCAGGATTAGTGTTGGGGTCTTCTTGCAAGATTTGTAAATTCAGCAAACTTCCCAATGGGAGACCATCAGGCTGAGGAGCCATAGCAACTGTAAAACATTAGAGTAAATTATGACTATTTATATTCTTTAATTATTGAAAGTATGTATAATTTATTTTTGGTGAAATTTATGGCAAACACTTACCAAAGGGAAGTATGATACTGAAGACTACTACAATTGAATTGGCCATATTGTATTAATTGATTGTTGAATTTTAGATCAAATTAAATTGCTGGTTTTAATATTTGCTTCTTGGACAACAAACTTGATCAAAATCATTAAACAAAGTGTGGTTTGATGTTGTGGTGGAATAGTTGGTGATGTTCAACTGATGCTGACTGTAGAACATTGGTGGCTTTTTATACTTATTAACAATCAGTGCGTTCGTTATTATCTATCATACTCAGAAAACATACCAAGTAAATACGCTAAATTTAGATATTTTTTTCTTATAAATTGTGCAATTTTACGGAAAACTGCAATAACAGCGCAAGTAAATATATGTTTTGTTCACAGCGGTTACAAAATACGTATGTAAATACCTATTATGAACATGGAGACAAAAATATCTCAAGTTAAAACATCAAAACAAGATAAAATCATGATAATTAATTCAACTTAAAAGTTTATATTATGAATTTTATCATTTTCTAAAGCAAATTTTGTTCAATATTGTTTCATTATTGATTCAATGATAAATCTTGTAATCTAAGAAAAACATTCTTTTTTATTAATCCATTTTACTGCATTTAACGAATAAAGTACAATTTCATATGAATCGAAAGCAGTTGAATGGTTCTGGTTCTGATTGGATTGGAACAATACATCTTAATTATTAACCAATTCGAATCCCTGAATCCCTATGTTTGTGAGAGTGTGGACGCCTGCTACGCCTCGAGAGTGGCGTTGTAAGTCTCGAATCACATACCAGAACAAAACCTGAAAATTATTGGTTACAACTCATAAATAAGAATATTGCAATTTTTTAAATACCCATTAACAGCAGACACAGAACCAAATTCTTGAACAACATTTTAAAAATGAATTTATCAATGTAATGTGGCATTTTATATTTATACCTCTGTTTTACTCAGTTTTCAATATAATTCAATACAAATAATCATAAAATATATTGTAAATTTTATTGCCATAAAAATTATAGAAATGTTTACAAATTGACTTAAATCAATAGCAACATGTATACAATTTCATTGATCTTCCTCGTCATGTTTGACTTCCTCTTATCAGTTAATCATTTGTGATGCAAATGAATACAAACTTACATCACACGTTTCATTGCACCTACAAGTTTGTATAAGTATACCGCTTTCTGTTTTCTCATTTTCTCATTTCTCAACTTTGCATGTTTACTTGAACTTCCAACATATATGATCAGAGCATGAACAACACCTGGAGTGTTGCACGATATTGTGTGTTGAATTATTACTTAACCAAGTAGACCAGCAACAACAAAACATTTTGTCTCTGGAATTTCATTGCGGATCGTTTTTTTTGTAGTCAATCTCATTGACCGCGATCATTCACGCAGAAAAACTTGAGTCGTGCAGTCAGCCAACGAGCATTACAGTCCAAATAGTCCAACGTTGCGCTTCACAAACTTTACAAATTTTTCCATTGTAACAAACTAAAAATGTTGGTATTTACATTGATACAGTCATCTACAATAGCATAGTTTGCAATTGCCATCGGACATATATCAATAAAATTTAACACTGTGTAATGTGATTAAAGTAGTTAGCCGATATAAATTACACCAAACATATTATATTGATTCAAAGTGTGTGGAGTGCATTGAGTCGTGACAGAAATTTGAATTGATCATAATAAAATTATCGTTCCATCGTTTCGAAAAAGTTTTGCGTTACGTTTTCACATATTCAATAACATTTGTTTTCGTTACCGTATTCAGTAAGGTGTTACGTAGCATTCAGTTATTGAAAGTTGTGTTTGAATTCTTATTCAGTTGCAACAACAAACTACACTAGCTCAAATAAGAATAAAACAAATTCGAATTGAAACTGTAATAAAATAAGCAATAAGAACATTATTTGCAGTGTTGCACAGCTACACCGAATAGTAATTGTTAAGGCGCACAATTTGTGGTAATTACTTTCTCTTTTATGAGCAATGTTATAATCTTATCGACGCCATTCAGTATTGTTGTGTAACGAGCCTTGATAATGCTTTATATATTTATACCTCTAGAAATTGTCAAACAAAATGCCAAATTGTTCATATGAGAACGATATGCTCTGGTAAACTCTGTCTTATACCTCCTACATTAACTCACTTCAAGTAATTAAAGTTAATCAAATATTTAAATTTTTATTTTTAATATTGTATATTTTGTGAACACTTATTGCGTGTGAAAAAACACCAAAGCGTTGAACTCACGCGTAGATTGTTGCAAATCAATTTGGAATTTATTTGGCAATAAAATGTTAATGATATTTAAATGTAAAAAAATGAATCAAGGTGATAAAATGTATCATGACCAAACAATATCCGAATTTTTGATTCGAACTTTTTTGCTAAAGATGAAAAAGAGATTTTGATAATTTTTTACTGTGACTTGTGATTAAGTAAAAACATATTTGGGTGTAACATTTATTGCTTTTGATTTTTGACGTTTGTGGTGTGCGATAACCTTGAAAATATTGCGTCAATTTTTTTGTTACAGAATATATATTATCATGCATACCAAGATCGCAAGTGATTCAAAACTCCTAACATACTAGGTTAGATAGTTAAAAAACTGACACAACAAAGGCACAAACAAACCAATAATATTTAATCAGGCATCGAATATAATAAAATACATGTACGTGCACGTTCGAGTTTATATTGTCATGTTCAATAATTTATTAATAAATGCGAATGTGGAGATACAAAAAAATGCCTATGATTATATTCGTTATAGCTTGAAGCTATCAGGAAAAAGTGAATCTGTTAAAGTGAGTGTGTTTGGAATATAAATTAGTTTTATAAAGTTAATAACATTCAAATAATAAGTATGTTATTAGAAGTATGCTCTTTGTTCACTACATACGTGGATTTTAAATTTTAACCTTTCACGCCTCGATTTTTGCTTTAGCAGTCTGCAGAAAAACACAAAAACAAAACATTGAATAAAATGGAAGATAAGTAGGTAAATTAAATATTAAACGTATTATAATTCTCCAACTGAAGTCATAGGGTTCAAGAACATCATTATTTTGACAAATGGTGTGAAATTTCGTGCTTCTGTTTAAATATTAGCAAAAAATATATACATACAAAAACATCAAGATTTAAGATCAATAAAAGTTAACTAGTTCCTGTTTGTCTGATGATTGGTTGGTCAGTTACTGGTTTGCTATTGAATCTGTTGTTATTTGTTGAAATGATCGAGTTAAAGTCAAAGTCTTGTTGCCGATTGCTCTCGTCGAGATAGTTGTGTCTTGAGTCAGTTTCGCTTTTATTGACCTGGTTGAGGGTCACCGGAAAGACAAGTCTCAGTTTGCCATCAAAATGACAAGTTTGAGGTAACCAGGTGGTCAAGAGCCAATGCAATAAACATTATTCTGATTTAAAAAAAATCTATAGTGTTAATTGGAATTAAAGCATATCAGAATAAATAATTGTTTTTAGCACACCTTATATGTATTTATAGAAATATAATTATGAATCTATGACTAACGGAAGCATTATTTTTGCGCGTACTAAGTTTTCAAGAAGTAATTCCCATAATGCACGAAATAAACGATTAGAAAATTTATTTTAATTGTAAACAAAACTAAAGAAATTTAAATTTTTTGCAAATTGCTCTAAATTACTTTTGTTTGTAAGAAAATAATTTTGAAAAAATAATTTAATTAATTATTTATTAATAGTGTTGACATTGACCTTAAATATATTAGAGCAGATTTTATTATTCATTTCAATGTTAAATAAACAACTTTGACATTTTCCCAAATAGTCAAATTAGAGTAATTTAAATACAATTTGAAATAATTTGTGGGTGGACGGTACCTGCAGATATGATTAATTTTGTCCAAGGAAGTCGGGTTCTAATCAATTCAAATCACATTCAAATTTTGGCTATTGTGCAAGAGTCTGTTGCAATCGGTAATGATCACGCGTATGTTAATGATGGTAATGATCGAAAATAGTTCCTGTGTCAGGTTCTTCTTGTTCGGGACATTGTTGGTGTGTCGAGTCTGAGGGAGTGTTCTCCAGGGTCGAAGAGTAGCCGCACGGCCGCACCGCCAAGGTTGGTTGACGATGGCGGGCGAGCACTATAAAACCGCCGGCGCGCTTGGAGAGGGTCAGTCACAGTTTGCCTTCTAATCAGGTAGACCGTCGAACACCAGAAGAACTCAACTTTGCGAAGAAATCCGTATAGTTTTAATTAACAATCAAAATGTACCGACTTGTAAGTACCTACCACTCATCTGGATAGATTCAAATTATTAAATATTAGCAGCATCAATGGATTCTAAAACCTCAATTTCTTTCTAGTTCGTAGTTTTGGCTCTTCTGGGAGCGTCAACGGCCCAAAACCAATACAACAAAAACCCACAGACGGCACAAATCCTCGCCGAACAGAGATATCTCTCCGGTGACGGCAAATTTGGTGCCCAATACTCGCAAGAAGATGGAGTCGAGTTCAAAGAAGAGAGTGATGCTGATGGTACCCGCCACGGTTCTTACTCTTACGTGGACCCATCTGGTCAGAGGCGTACTGTGACTTACACCGCCGGCAAGAACGGTTTCCAAGCCACCGGTGACCATCTCCCTCAAGCTCCAGCGGCCCCAGTGCCAACCCCACCCGCCCCACAATACCAACCCCTCCCACAATACAACTCACCAACATACCAACAACCACAATATCAACAACCTCAATATCAACAACCACAGTACCAACAACCACAATACAACCCACAACAATACCAGCAATATCAACAACCCGCTCAACCTCAGTACACTCCACAATATCAGCAACAAGCTGCTTACCAACAACCACAGTATCAGCAACCCGCTGCCCAACCACAATACCAACAATACCAACAGACGACGCAAGCACCACACAGATTCTACCCACCCGGCAAGCTTAACCTGAACAGGTCGCCCGATGGTTTCACCTATAGCTTCCAGAAGGCTTAGGATTCTAATACTAGACTTATAGCTTCCTATTGATTAACTCAATTCTTGATAAGTGCAGGTGTGACTTGTATTTATTGACCTCTTCTCTGTTCATAGACGTTTTGTATTATATTTGTTCGTAATGTTTTTTTAACTTGATTTTAAAATAAAAGTTTAAAAATCAACTCGTTTGCACACCATTTGCAGAGAACACACCTACGGAAACAGTGATCATGCATTGCACATGTGATATGTCTGAAGGTATGTACTTACATTGCGCAGTTTGCATAGCAACACGACCTATGCTTTTTGTCTTGAGGTCTTGAGCAAGTAGCAACGAATGAAAGTGCATTCTGACCGGCAGCCTTGAGTCGACGACCACGACAACAACAATCTGTAAAATATAACATTCAATACAAGAAAACAAGATAATCAATATATTATCTGTGCTTACGTAGAAGAATTAAAACAATGAAACAGGAGAATAAATTTTGGACCGTGTTTTAATCGAAATCATTATACTAAATCTATTTTTATATAAAACTTCTTTTTTGGGTGTGGTTAGTAAACCAAGGGTACCATAAAATATACTATAGGTACAAATTTGGTTGCCTACGTTAGAAAAGCAAGACTAATATTAATATTTGCTTATTATTCGCTTTATTTCTTGATGTTGTACTAACGTAATTTTATGAAGAACTCAAAAGCAAGTCGCAAAAGTTATATCTCGATAATTTTATGTTAGGATTGTATAAATCATTGGCTTAAATTGTCACAAGGTTGTTCAGCTCGTCAAAGTAAGAATAAAAATCGCATTGAACTTGGCATTTGCATTTACGTGCAGACTTGCGGTATTTTAAAGAAGTATGTACGTATTTAAAACGAACATTCGTACTTAACGCGTGATTTGCACTTTACTCATACGTAAATTGTACGCTTCAATACGTATACGCTTCAACAGACATTCTAATTATTTATTCAAGTTAATTGAAATCTGCATTCGCGGACAGTCTATTATTAAATTTGTTTTTGTGCTACAATCAGGCAATAAAAATTATAAAGTGAAAAAAAAAAGAAAATATTCGGAAGTTAAAAACTTTCTGTTTATACCTATATACCTACCTAATACCTACCTATAATACTCACCTACTAGTAAATTATAAATATGCTAGTATGGCATTATAAACAAATGCAGGAAACGTGCATGAACATGGAATTTGCGAACGTGCGGTGCATGCATTTCGAATTGTTAATCGAATTACAAAAGTCAAAGTAAAATAAAGCAAGCTGGCCAACTGATATTTTCTCTTTAATGCCTACCAATTTATAGTCATAAATAAAAACGAAAGTGAATTTAAATTCAATTTCATATCATAAAATTAATCTCTATAAATAAGGGGTAGTGAGGTAATACGGCCAAGATATTAAACAAATAAATTCCATAACATACCTAAGTACAAAATTAATCATTTTATAAAGCAAAAACAGACAACTTAAATCTTGATATAAACTTGATTCCAACTTATTAAGTTTTTAATGATTGCATTATACTTAGCATATTCTTTGAATGTATATTAAAGTACTAATTAACTACTGGAATAATTATTTTCATGAATTGATAAGAAACGGCGGCTCATATAATTAGATACCAATATAAATTATATTGTATTTAATGATTTTTGTTCGCTTCGAGTGATTGATAATTGATTCAGTTTTGTAGCAAAATCGTAAATTATTATTATTAATTGCGGCTATAATTAAACACCGCATGGCGCACGGCGTCTATTCGAGTGAAGTCGCAACGAGATCGAAGTCATTGCATCATCAAGCATGCAAGAATTTTCATTATCATTTGCATTACACGCAAAACTACTTGCACTACACATGTTCTGCACGGTTCATATAAGTCTTAATTGTATTCTCCTTGCCATAGTTATCTATTTAATGGGTTGATATTAAAAGAACAAAAAAGTATGCAGCATCGGCATACAACAAATCAAAACAATTTCTTGGAGAATTCAATTAAATAAATTAATCGTTATTGATGTTGGTGTTATTTAATTGCTTAATACTGATCTGATCATTGAATTTATATTTAGTTCAAGTGGAGGAGCACTTGGGCAGGCAATGCTGGCATGTTGAATAGGAGCGGTGGCCTCTTGCAGGAATCTATTAGAGCGGCGATTACAATTTCATCTAAGCGGATAACATTACATCGATCGGATTGGCATTAATCGCGCGAATAGCGACCGCTTTCAATCGATGTGGCGCTGATTTTATGGAGATTTGCGTTCCTTGCTCTCCTCCGCGTCCGGTTCGTTCCGGCATCTCCGCCACATGCGTCCGCCATTATTGTTAACAACTATATAAAGTGATAACTCGGGCATAGCTTTTCAGTTTATTCCTAATCGCACAGAAAGCAAACCAAAGCAATTCAATCGAAATTCGTTATATTAACTTTTAATTCAAATTCAATAAATTGTGTTATAGTGAACCATAATATGGATTATTCTATCAAATTTATTTTTAATTTTATTGTGAGTAAATATTTTCACTTTTTTAATCTATTTTTGATTTCACATTTCTATTTTTATATTATTTTTATAATATTTGAATAAATATTAGAAATATTCAATTTTAGCATGTTTATTCTTTATTTTCAGTTGGTATCATTATTTATCACAATTTCCTTTGCTCAATACAACCCTACAATTCTTCAAGATACTAGAAACGAGCCAAAAGTAGATGGTACCTTCGGATTCCTCTACCGTACGGAAGACGGCATTTCTCATGCTGCAAAGGGTGAGCCCGGTGGGCATGTAGTCGGCCGCTTCACTTACACCGACCCAACGGGTCTTAAAGTGAACTTCAATTACAACGCTGGATCAGGAGTAACTCCTAAGTATAACTACAATGCTGCTCCAGTTGCCAGTGCTCCAGTCTACAACAATCAAGGAATAGTTCAAGAAGAGCGAAGAACCAAACCACCTGCACTACAACAACAACAACAGCAGCAACCAATTCAACAATATCAACAACCACAACAGCAATATTACGCACAGCCTGTTCAACAACAACCTCAACCTCAACCTCAACAACAACCAATTCAACAAAATTTCAACTATCAACCAGTTCAAAATTATCAACCAGCTTTCCAACCAGTTTATCAACCACAGCCACTTCAACCTCAAGGACTTCAACACCCTTTGGCAAATTTACAGCAGGATCCTTATCTTCCCGAAGATGATGGCACTTATCATCCTGAATTAGACGCGCAGTATGAGTATCATGATAGTGATAACACTGTGAACAACAATGTTAATAATCAATTTGTTGGGTTTGGTAAAAAATAACACATGGTAAGAATAACTATAAAAAAATATATTATGTAAAATTACTTGTATTTCGTAATTACATGTACGATTGTATATAGATTTTGTGAGTGAGTTAAATTTTTGCGGCAAGTAAAGTCTTCAAAGCAAAAAGATTATATGAAATTACCTTTGTACGGGAGTTGCCGTCGCAGTACAGCATTGTGTGATTGTGCGACGTCGGACGACAAAACACCCCTTTCTTCGCGGGGGTCCACGGAGTAAGTCGTCAAAGCCACAAACGGAGCCGCAACATAAAGAAACTAAGTAGCGAACACACAAAGATCAATAATTTCTATTAGCAGTAAAGTTGCGTCGAACAATGTGTCACGCATTTTTGACCAAAAGAAAAATTCAAAAAGTTAAAAATTTTATTTAAAATTTAAAAAAATGGCAAAAATGTCATCTCTGTAATTTATGTGATTTCTCAACTTCTAATAGGTCCAGATTTTGGGTCTAACTGCACACCCCCTTTTCTGTGGCTTGGTAAGTGATTGCTGCATTCAAAATGGCCATCCTAATGATCGGGTGTAACACACACGGGCTGAATCTGGCCCCCTCGTGGTACGCGAGTGACATCCGCACGCTCGACGCGGCCGGAGGGATTGATGTATGGCTTAATAATGCAGTGTTGAAAAGGCAGGTCACTTTGTACCGAACTTCATTATGTCGGCTGCACGTCAACGTCGATGCTATTATTTGTCAGAAATCCAAATACACACAGCGCCCAACACAGATACAATCACCACGAGGAAAAAAATCTGAAAAGGCATGTAGCATGTAATATGCGGTGCGTCCTATTCAAAACGAGGTAACGAGGGTACGTTACCAATAGTAGTTATATACAGAGTGTTGCCAATCTATATAAACGCTCTAGATGAGATTTTTGTTCCGAAACCTGTTTTATATTTCGAGTGGACGTGTGATATAAAGGGAACACTCTCTATGTTGATTTAAGCAAGCAGCTGTGATCTTTACAGAGCAAATTGTAAATCCTCCCTGAGCTCGACTCTTCCAGCCCGGAGCAACCCCAAGCTTGTTGGTCCGAGTTGTGTCGCCGTGGCGTCGTGTGTGCATATGTCGTCTACTTAGCGCTGTGGCCTCCATTGCTGTATTGTCAAGCGATTTGTAGCGATTCCGCTTTTGTGCGTGTGTTCAGTTTAGCGAAATCCTTTTTTTGTGTCACTGCGTTTTGGTCGGTCTGCACTTACCCCCGGAGCAAGCCAACAAGCCAGCTTCAAAAAATATATAAAAAGTAGTACAAATAGAAAACCAGACCTTAAACCAAAACCAAAGCCAAAAAAGTTTTTCAATGCTGGGCATTCATGCTGAAGAAGAATGGTAAACGTCAAAACATAAAAAATAAAGTTAAAACGTTACAATTTTTATGAATTTTTTTTAATTTTTGGAAAAATTTTGAAGATAATATTTATAATTTCATGGTGGTAAATCAATTAGCCACTCGTGGTGTACATCATACTGCGTCTACGAGTACTTCACTCAAGTGTATTTTTATAAGTGTATGGTTTTGCCTGGTGATTCCGCGTACAGGATTTCCGATTCTTTTTCCTCTTATTCCCCTTGTTCTTCTCGTTCTTCGGATGTGAAAGCAACCATACATGATGGGAACCGCCCGCATTATCTAAACTTCAATGTATCAAGTGCAGACTATCCAAACTTTCAAGTGTTTATATATTCCCGTGGGATAAAAACCGAAAACTAAATATTGCAAAACTTTTTGCAAATTATTTCAAAAATTAATAACAAATAACACACTTTTTTATATTGATTAATTCAGTTCTCACCACAACGATTAAATTCATTTTCCTTCATGATGTGCAATCTGATGCAGGGTTTTATGCAATCTGCAACCGACACTGTCATCCGATTCGTGGGGCTCGTGACCTATTATGATACCCAAATCCGTTTTGGGAGACCGAAATCAAATGAGTCATTTACCATCCTGTCATAATCATGTCTCCATGTCCTGCGCTTGTCCTCGCAATAGATTTAATCCCACGTTGTATTTTAATGCAGCCGTGACACGAGCGGATGGTTTGCGGCAATTTAAATAATTATGATGGCCCATGACCAGATAAGTCCCTATTGCAGTGCGCACAAAACGAGGATTATCTTTTTTAACAACGTTGTGAGGAAGGGAGTGTCATCAAAAGCAGGATGACAATTATGACATGCATCAAAAAAACATGCATCGCATTTATATCTAAGGCAGGAAATATTTTATATCTCCAATTAAAAAGATTATTCTTGAATAAATAAATTTTCCTTTTTGATGGTACTGTTGTTTTATCACCGGCGGCTTCTTTTTAGTTTTACGCGTCGCTTCTTTCTCTTTCACTTCAGACTATGTTGCTTTATGCACTTTTGTTCAGCAATTCGAAAATGCAAACGAAGCGCAAAATTTGCGTTTTGTTCAAAAGCCTCACCGCTTTGTATTCTTTTTTATATTTTCGTACCAGCAAGTCCGAGATTTCTTACAAATGCCGAACACTTCATCCCAGTATTAACTTCCACTAATATATCGCCGGTCATACTGTGCGCCCAAACATACCTCCCTTATTTTGCGTCCCATCACTTATCTGTTTTTTGTGTCCAACATGCCGCCTTGCCCAAGCCTGACAAATTGGCATCGACTTTTAATCCTCTTCGAGATTAACTCCAGGTACATAACTTACTCAAACTTTTTAAAGTTAAAGAAAAAATGGTTTGAAGTATTATTTAGTCCTAAATAAATGTTGATTTCTATAAAAACTCATTTTTACAGCTTTGATTTGTTATGGAAACATTTTAGTCCATTTTGATATTAAGTTTGTATTTTTAGTCTTAATTTAAAGAAAAAATATAATTTCTTACAATAGTTTTTATATTGCTTGAAATTTTATTACTTTCTAATTATTCAGTAAGCATTTTTATCCCTCTTCTCAAGTATGCAAAGATTTTTGCTGTTACAAGTCGGTAACATTTATTATACATCAACCCTCTGGTTTTTCTTTTTAAACAACTCAAGCAACTCTGCCAGCTGTGAGTGTGAAGTGTCGCCATTGACTGTCGAGAGTCATCGAGTCATCGACAGTTTACCACCAAACGCTATTCCATCTTCCTCCATTTTGATGCACTCTTTATTACTCCCGTTATTTTCTCCTTGCGGCTCTTAGCCTTTCTTCGTTGTCGTTGTCGTTGATTACAATTATTCCGCTTTGTTACCTCCCAATGGTGCAAACAACCCTTCTGGTCTGATCGGGAAACAATCATTCGATTACCAAACCTTTATCCTCAGAGCAGAGTACTAGTACTACATGTTGTAACATTGAATATTTTAAAACAATGCTAAAAGTAACGTGCAGAAATTATTACAATATTTTTCTTGTTACACTGGAGAGAACTTGATGTAAGTATCTACCTACTTCAAATAATGCTTGAAACATAATAAATTAGAAGTCTTAAAATTATTTTCCTATTATAAACTTTTCATTTTTGTTAAATTACCTTCTTATGGCAGATTTGTGCTACTGCTTGTTGATTTCCTTCTCGAATGAATTCCTTGGCATAACTGTCAAGATATTTGTCAAAAGTTTTAACATTCATCATGCCTATATTTTAATATTATAATATTTTACATGCAACAATGGACGTAATAATCACGTATTGTACTGTTGCATTATTCTTTACAACATTATCGCACAAATCTGCAGATTTAGGAAGCGTTGCTTCTTGCATAATCCGCAAATAACGTCGCACTATTCCTATCTTGGCACACAATCTTTTCTTGTTGGTTAATGCAGAATTAGGAAGCACTAAGTTTTGTGTCATAAACATAAGGCTACAAGTTGAAGTTAACTCAGAAGCGATTTCTAATTGAATTTTTTAAGAAAACTTTTTATAGCATATTAAAATGTTTTCATTTTGCGCTTCGGTTAGTTTGCAAAGCATATTCGGCAAATCTGGCCGCTTTAAAGTTTAATTTAAAACTTAGTGATGCGTATTTCAAGAGGTGGCGGTACAGCTTTGACGATGCAATTTCAGATATGAAGTTATTTTGCAACAGTGGTATTAGGTTTCATGCCGCACACGCAAAATGCCAAAATTGGTAAATGCAATCATCTGGAAGCAAACATCCTTCTTCAAAAAACATTCATAACTCTTAATATTTATATTCTACATTTGAAGTGGCAACTGTAAAAAAATCTTCCAAAGTTGTGGTAAACTAAACCAGATCAAAGTAATATTGCCGATCAAAAATTATCAAAACATGCGTATTCCATTTTTTAATATTAAACTAAAGAATAACATATATATTTAAAAAAATTAATTATAATACTGCAGTTGCATTTTAAAATCGTCAACATCCTCCGGCTACAAACTTGCAAATGATGTTTTGAGAATAAATTTAGCAGTGCGTGCGACAATCGTCTGGCTAAAATTCAATATATTCTAAAGAGATAATCCTCGGTTAAAAGGTCGCACTTAAAATCAACCCCATTTTAGTACAGCGTTGAATTTTAACGCTCGCGCAAGACACGAACCATTCAGATTGTCCCGCCGAATTTATTTAGGGATGTTGCGTTGCCAGAGGGATGGCACCTCCGGGCGTAGGGTTGTTGCAAATCACAGACTCCATATTAGGGATGCACACTTATCTCTATTTCTCTTATATAGTCATAGTTACTCGTATCTATTTTTGAACGATGAACGAACGTCAAGAAGCAGCTCTCGTTTTTAGGCTTCCACACCCCTATGGAATAATATGTGGAGCATTCTGCGTTAGTGAAAAGACTGATTCCTAATGTCAATATCTTCGAGCAAAAAGTCTGATTACGATCTCGACAACAATACAGCGCATTATTTTTGTTGCGATCCTTTGTAATTTCGGTTAGAAGTGAATCATGTGAATAGGATTGAAGTAAATTTTGGCAGAAGGCACCATATCATATATCAAAAGATGTGCAAAATGTCAAAAACAAATCATCGGGTAATTATAACTTGTTGAAAATAAAGAAAAACATAAACTATTGAAAAGCTTCTCAGAAACTGTTAACTTCATTTGCTAAAAAGTTTACTTCGATGTAAAACTTGTACGTTTTTTTGCATCAGCTTTTCTATGAGAATTTTCTTCCAAACCTTTTTAGTTGGTGCTTTTCGTTTTTGCAAGTCGACTGGCTAATCTCACATCAGGACTAATCTCCCAATAGCCGCCAGGTAGGCCAATCATCCGCTCGACTGCGTTGGCACAAAAGTCGCGCACCATTAGCCTTTGTCATGTAGAAATTCTTTTGCAATATGCCTTCTTGCACGAGAAACAAGCTTTGTTTGCAAGCCCCAACAATCCTCCCAAATACTCATCTGTGCCCAGCTTCTATAAAGCGTTCCTAAAATTTCATCTAGTAAAAAAAAGCTTAAAAACACAAAACCACCAATGAAACAAATTGAAATATTATAAATAAAATATGTTTATTTTGTACGATCAGCATTATTGTCATTGTTATCAGTAGATATATTTTTCAATGTTTAATACAATAGAGTTATATAATTTAGTAGGTATTTATTAAATGGCAAATTTTTGGCTTTTGCTTTAAATTAAATATGTTAGCTAAACGTAACAATTATTTACAATCACAGTGAAAGTTATTGCCATCTTTCAAACACATTGAATATTTCATTATTTGGTCAACAAATGTGTGTCATAAATTTAAATGTTGGTTTCCGGCGTTTGGGATTTGTACATGTCACTGATAATCCTAACAATTGGAATAGGTCCAATAGTCTTCCTGAAGAATAACTCCTCGATGACATCTCCTGGTACTCCTCGCAGTTGTGGCAGCAACATCAGCATTTTTCCAAATCGCAGCGGTTGTGCGGGATACGCTGCTGAGATGTATTTGTGCAACGTGAGCTGCGTGTGATCCTGCACAGCAGCAATCGAGGTGGGATCAATCAGCATTTTTGTATCGTTACTAGAAGTGCTTGAAACGCTGCTTGCACTGCTTGTTGGCTTATCAAAAGATGTTTTGAACAATAAAATAGCTCTCAGGCATGCATACTCATGCGGATCCAGATGAAAACTTGCAATTTTCGCCAAAGTTTCTTGGAATTCTTTAACATCATGAAGGAATCCTACGACATGATCTTGATCACGTTCCAAAACTCCACATGCTTGAACCAGTGAAGTCAAATCCATGGGAAGAAGTTGAGAAGCGCCGAGAATAAACAATTCCCGCCATGATTCTTCCAACAAGAGAAGTTGATCCTGCATAGGAAGAGCGTTGAAGGTCGGCACTGATTTGGTCCACTTGACGTTCATGAAGAGCAGGCGCGCAGCGGATTCGCAGATTGCCGCAGGGGAAAGCATAGGGTGGATGAGTTGCGATTGGGGCATGTGGAAAGGCATGCGCGTCATGAGCGCGGCAGGATTGCACATGAACGCTGCTGCTGGAGCCATCATTGGCTGCTCCATCATCGGAGGCGAGGATCCTTGTTTTGGCATTGCAAGATCCAGAGCGCCTGTGGGGGAGATCATCATGCGATCGCGGGGATCAAAGAAGTGGGCCATCTGTTGGCGGCGGAGGGTGGAGTTGCGAGGTCCTCGTTCATGTTGAACAGCTAAAATTAATAGAATAGCAAATTTAATTATACATTGTTTAGAAATATTTTGAGAAAAAATTTAAATCATAGTAGATTTCGAAAATGTTTATGTTTTGTTGGAAACTTACCATCTTTATTCATTCCTGCTTCTTGGCATTTGGTTAGTCTACAAGCACGGCACTGATTGCGATGAGTTTTATCAACTATGCAGGATCCTTCGGCTTTAGCCTTACAGACGTATTGACGATTGCGACGGACAGATCTTTTGAAGAAACCAGCGCATCCGTCGCAAGCGAAGATATTGTAATGTTTTCCCGAAGAAAAATCACCACACACTTTGCATGGAATATCCAAAATTCCTTTAAAAGAAAAAATATGACTATTAGCATTTAAATCCAAAAATGATTTTGCAAAATATTGAAAAAAATATAAAAAATGCTTACTTGAAGAAGATGGTGGTGATCCTTTAGATCCCATATATAAGGAATCCAAGTTCATGTTATCCGATGGTGCACTAGCGATCATCGTTTCCATGGTGAACAGTTCAAAACACAAATCACAAAACGCACAAAGTTAACAAAAACGCAGAAATGATTTGATGGTGAGTTGATATGGTGAGAAGCTCTCCGACAGATAGTTGAACAAATTCTGATGGTTGCCGTCGGCGTGGTGAGAGTTTTTAAGGCAAGTGAGGACGCGCCAGGGGGTGCGGATGCCGATCGGGGTGTCGGCACTTTTAAGGGGTATTATGAATGAAGCGCATCGAGCACCCTCGATGCTCATTGGCTGAAAAGGAGTCCCACCACCAGATCTGGCGGTCGAACCGCTTTGTAGAAAATTATCAAAGAAACAAACTGGAGGGGCTAACAATTAGACAAATTATAATTTTTATTTTATAATAATAACAGTTATTATGAAAATTGTATAGAATAATGAATGGTTGATGTTTGATTAGTATTAGTATTAGTGTGATTAGATATAAGGCAAACCATGTCAGATTCAAAAATCAAATTGAAACACTATAGGTACATTGTAAAATAAGAAAAAATAATTATTTATTTATTTTATTAATAGTATCAGCGGTTATATTATTATCAAATTGCCTTTCCTGCGTCTTTTTTACTCGCTTTATATTAGCTTCACATGTATGTTTTTTTGATTGCTTGCTTGTTTGTAACCGGTTTACTTTACACTTTACCAATTTATCATTATAATAAATTCAGTTTTTAAACAATTTTGAAATTTGGCGTAAAAAAAGTTGCGTGAAAGTTTTTAGCATCTTTTATGTGTTTTAGTGCAACGAAAACAATTTCTAAATGCATTTGAATCATATGACTTAGGTAAGTGTAGTCATCTTGTGTGCATTAGTAGGTATGTAATTTTATTAAGATTTCTCATAAAAGCGTGTTTTTCTTTTTGTTTTTGTAAGCTATATATTTTTTAATTGTGTTTTGTGTTTTATTTATGTTTTCAAAGAATAGATATTAAATAATTTTAAATTTGCTGCATGAAAATATATTGTACTAAATAAATATTTCTTATAGTATAATCTAATTTTCCAAAAATTTAGTGTTTTTAAGAAAACTTTTCATTCATGCGACAAATTCTGCACCTTCAATGATTCCACTTTCGGCAAAACTAGAATAGAATTTAACCTGAGTTATACCAGGTCAAAAGATGAACCTAATTGCAACAGTCTTTGTCGGTAATAGCCATTGCCGGTTTTCGGACTAATCTCAAAGCGGCCGCTTCGATAATCCCATTACCGTGAAAGGGATTAACTGTCATTAAACTTTTGCGGTGCGCTCAACCCCACAGCATGTCGCCTACATCTGACGCCCGCTCTCATTCTCATTACCACTGGTCTTCATTCAAGAAACAACACAAATATCATTCATCGGTAGTAAAGCCATTTTATGACTTGACCGGTTTGAATTAGCGGCAATAACCAACACCTATTGATCTGCGCTAATCTTATTAAACTCTGCATGTGCCTTTTTTGGAAATTATCGGCAGTCGGACGTGACTTCAAACAAGCTTCAGCAAAGCTAAAAATCACTTTTCATACAATTTAAACAATAAACACAAACATTGAATGCAAATGAAGAAAACGCTTTTTTATATATTTTTTTGCTTACAAGACGATGAAAACAAGATACGAGTATGTTTAATGAATGGTACTTGTATAAAAAATTCAAGACGTTTTGAAGGCGTGTTTAAAGTCCTTGTGGAACTGGAGATTTAGAGAGGATGTGAAGTAAAGAAGTTGTTCACTTCTTCCCGGTCTTCCCACGGCACGACGCGCACACTTGCGCAAACGGCGAGTGCCTTTTTTGCTGCCCGAGAGAAATGTCTTTGTCGAGTCAAAGCATCGAATGTAATACGATTCCTAGTCATTTTCTTTCTATAGAATTGTACCCAATACAAAAGATTTTTTTATTACAACAACGTAAAAATAAATTACACATGTTTATTATATAATATAATAGTTATTGCAAATTATTTATTTATTTATTTTATAAAATAAAAATTTAATTATCAATTCATTTTAAATTCCCACACATTTGGGAATCACCATCGGAATTCATTCACATGACCAGATGACGCCCAAAATTTTCATCCCACGTTCTCATCTCATCGCACCCTAAACTAAACTCAACTAAAAACTGATTGCGTTTTTAAATTCACAATTATCTGTGGTGCACTATAGGTGTAGGTGATACATTTGTTAGCATGTCATGTCCTATAGTGCCATATGGAGTGGACCGCGCGATGGTCCCCTAATCATCCCCTTGTTTCGCTCGTATGAAGTAGTTTTTGAGCATTACTAAATGTGTGATGAGGCAATGCGTGTTCAGGAATATCATGTGGTGCAATCATCTACCTGGGAACTCACTGCACTTGTTCCTGCTGATTAATACCTATTGTAATTAGAGCAACATGTTGCAGGAACATATCTGTACATAAAGGTATGGTTGATTTCACCCCTCAACTAAATACTACTGTGGGAATTTTTATAGGAAGTATTAAAATTATTTATGTTTAAGTAATTTTATTGTTTTAATATTGTCAAAAATAAATTTTAGCTTTTTAGTATATCAGTCATAAAGCATGCTTCCTGCCAAACCAATAAACCCCGCATTGTTGAAAAATTATAATTTTTCAAAATTTCTAACATTTTTTGGTTATTGCGACGTGCGAGCATACCAATCGTGCTCGAGTTTTCAAAAAATCTAAGCGTCGAAAATGCCATCTCGCCCTCGAAAGTATGTCATAACTCGCCAACAAACAACCACCCCTAAAAAAGGTACATACACTTCGCTTCGTAATCACGCCCAACAACTCTCCTGCGATATCAAAACATTTTTAATAAAATCTCGCTCGCTGAGAGCTGGATGCGATGCGCAATCATAATAATGCGTGCTGCAGGGGTGAGTCGATGAGAAGGCGATCATATTTCGGATATTAATATACGGCATTCCATGTGCGGCAGTCATGCCTCGGTGCGTATTTGGTTAACACGCCAGTAACGCAATAAAAAGTTGCGTTACGGCAGGAATTCCTCCAGTAATCAAACAAATTAAAATTTATTCCTACATTTTTCTATATAGGTACGTGCATTAAACAATGTTATAAATGTACTTGCTAACTTAATATGGTTTGTTTTTTCATTCACCTGCAGCGTGGCTGTCTCCACTTTGCCACTTTTCAATCGACCTTTGAAAGAAATCAACAATTTTCAGCACAACAACACAATCATAAAATTATGAATACAAACAGAACACGACAATGGGTCATCATACTGTTGCACCTCAAAATGACTACCAACAATTCTCATTCAAGCTTTCATAAACTGTTTAGAAACGTTGTAAATGTTTATTTTCATTCATAATTTCACCCGCAACTTTGACGCAAGGAATTGTAAGGTGCTTGTGCGTTTGTTTCTGACTCACTTGAAAAATTCAGGTATAATTTTGCCTGCGCAATCAAGTTATAAAACAGCATCAAGCTTGCGCGCAGGTCTTAAAACGTTAATTTAGTTGATGTGGGGAAAAACCAACTTTTGAGACAGAGTAGTATTCGCGTCGTATTCCCGTCGCGGCGGTCAACAATTCCATGAACTTTTGGGGCACTTCATAAAATATAGATCACCATAAAACTGAACCTAAACTATACCAAAAACAAAATATCGACTAATAAACTTTTATTACAAACGTCCGGATTAACAAAAGCATTAAAATCCAGCGATTTCATTCATAAAACTCAAATTTTATGCAAAAAACAAAATTGAAAAAAGTATTCCGTTTTGACTTTTTATCAAAGGCTTTCGGTTGTTTGAAAGTCAATCAGAGGTTAGAACCAACGTTAAAGTCGTTTGTGTATGTACAGAAAGGTCGTGGATTAATGGCAACACCTGGTTCATTTTCCGAATTTAGATCGAGGAACTTTTTGGCTCTTGAAAGCGCTGAAAAGATGCTTGCCGACTGGAGTTATCCTCATTAGACGCTCGGATGCATTCGATCAATGCATGGACGTACGCAGGCCTCTTTTGTGTTTTGTCATGTTTTATCATTCAATTCAGACTTCAACCGAGTTGCCAGGGAGCTAAACGATATTGAATTGAACGTTGGGGAAGTCATGCAATACGTTTGACTTGTAGTAGGTACGAGTAGTCTTGTCAAACTTGTATTTTGCAAAAAAAAATATTTTAAAATTGCTTTAGTTATATGATGGAAAATTTTAATTTGCAAATACTAAATAGTTACTACATACCATTATTACTTCTAAAATTATTCTAAAATATTTCACAATGAATAGAATACAAATAAAACCAGAAATTCAAGTTTTGTATAGCAAATTTTAGTAACTTCTCAATTTTCAAGCCTCACAGATTCTAAATTTTAAATAACTTGAGACTTTACAACTTAAAAGCTTCAAGAATTACGCAAAAATATTGCGTATCTCAAAGTTGATCGTGAAGCATTTTGTGCCTTTTGACAACTCCGGTGTTATAGTGCTAAACACTATACGAAGCGGATTATCTTCACCAACAAGAGAAAACGTCATTTTAGCCAAGTATAGTTGAATTTCTATAGGTTTGAGTCATGAGAAGTATTAACATGTTACACAACACCCAAAAACATGATGATTTTTGACGATATTTTCGCAAAGCAGCTGAAAAGTTGAAAAGTCTCTAAAATTTTCAAAACCAGATAAATATTTGCTTAGAATTAAGTATAAATCTAAAAACTTTCTCAATTTTTGTGATTTTATTCTTAGTTTCAATTAATTTTAATTGTGATGTGCTGTCTACATTCAACCCTTTTATGAGTTATTGTATTGTACATAATTATATCCGAAAGCTTGTCATTTATACCAACATAATTAGACGCACAGAGCAGAGAATACAATCGACTACATTCACATATCAGGTAGAAACACATCCGGTAATTTTTATATACAGAGTCAGGCTATTTCAAAAATATATTTTGTTCTGTTTATTAAAATAGTGATTTCAATGCCACACTTTGTATATTGATGAGTTGGGTTGTTCATACTTCTATTTGTACCACATGGCGTCGATAAAAATAAACTGCAAGCTCCAGCACGAAGCGAGAGGTGTGTAATGCACGTCGG